GTTTATAAACTATGACATTTATAAATGAATGAATCATATGGTGAAAAACTGACTTTGAAAAATAAATCTGTTCTTTTTTTCTTATAAAAAGTTAAATAAAACAAAAATATTGGTGGTAATTTTTGACTGTAACTTTACAAACGGCACCTCATATGAGACCAGATCAGTTCCAACATGTGGGACAGGTAGGCCTTACTGACAGGACCTGTCAGACATGAAGTCAGGCAGATCATTAGGATGCATATAAAAAAAAGTTTCGGGGTTTTAGTTTTGACTCCTGAGGTCAAAGGTCACATTCGACTCAGCAGAAACCAGGAGGTTCAGTTTTATTCTGAAAAATATTGTTAAGTTATGATCTGATGAAAAAAAAAAGCCTCATTACATCGTTGTTTACAGAAAAAAACATGTTTACTTTTCACTCAAATATCAACTATTAATGTGCTGAGAGTCAGAAACAGTCTGACCCAAACTTGTCCAAAACCAGTTCCAGAACCTGTGATCACCTGTCTCTCGTCCTGCTCCAGCGTTCGGTGCCCCAGCAGACGAGGGCGGAGCCTCAGAGGACGCCGGCGAAGAGGAGCTGAGCTTCAAGCTGCTCCAGGTCAGCCGTCTGAGAGGAGACATCAACGAGCTGACCAGAACCATCTCAGACCGCTACCTTCACAACCTGGGGGACAACTGGGTCACACAGAACATCCAGAACCACACAGCTCCTGGACCTCAAAGCCAGAATCACAGCAAGTGAACATCAAACCCAACAGTGCAGTCAGGCTCTGGTTCTGGTTCTGGTTCTGTCCCACCATGCATCAGATGTATTTTCACACATTAAATAAACTCTGGTGTGTTGGTGTCAGTCTCTTGGTTCGGCTCGTTCAGTTCTGTTGGACTCAGAACCTTGTGTGACATTAGTTCATGAATCATAACTTTAATGAATCATGATTCAATAAAATGAGTCATAATTTTAAACGATTCTTTCAGGACTCACACGAGTGTGGACTGCAGGTTCTGAATCAGAGGTGGTCAATACTGCAGGTGGTCTTCAGGAACCCTCAGGGTCTTGTCTCTGAGGAGGATGCTGGTCTGTTGGGGTCTTTGGACCCTGATCTTCAGTGTGTCCCGGGACGAGTCAGATCCTCTAGGTCTGAGGCCGTGGTTCTGAAGCAGAAAACAGAACGATCCCTCTGGGTTTGGAACGAGTCTCTGCCTCTGAGGACTTCAGGTATCTGGGTCCTGAGTGTTGGTCTAACCCAGGGGTCTGCAACCTGCGGCTCTGGACTAATAAATTTTATGCAAATATGTAATCAATACTAATACAAAAATACTAGTACAAAAAGTAAAATATGTTGACGACAACTGGGTTAAAATGAAAGCCCAGGAAGTCCAACATTTCACTGATCACATCAACTCTGGATGAATATATTAAGTTCACATGAGAGGATGTAAAAAATGGCAGGTTGGTGTTCCTGGATTGCGATGTCTCGGTTTCGGATGGAG